AATTTATGACGAACGTTACAGAATTAATTACGGGTTTTGTAACGTCTTTTCCAACCCTATATATATATCCATATGTTGAGCTCAAAATAATAAGGAAAAATATACAACAAGTTTCTCTTGTTTTTCTTCTCTCCCCTGCATATTATTTTCATCTACATTTTAGTTTTATTTTATGGGCAACTTCCTTCATCTGAGCTGAAGCTCTGCACTCTCGCCTGAGTGTAGAGGCCGGCCGTTTCCGGGGGTTTTTACCGCTAGGGGGGAGGGAACCATCTGCGCCAGGACGATAGGCGGGTTCTCAATCTTCTAGGGCAGTGAATACACGACTGCTCCCGTTCAGACCTGATTTTCTTATCTCTTATTTATTTTATTCGAATTTATCTGCATGCTATAATATTAAATTATTTGATAAATTTACAACAATCTAGAAGATTAAAATGTTTATAGCTTTCGATTTAAATCCAGAAAAATAATTTTTAAAGTTACTGTTCATTCGAGACAGCACTGTTCATCCGATTTAAAAATAAAAAAAATATTTTTTTTTACTATTTCTGTTCGCAATTTAATCAGAAATTGCTGCTCATTATAAAATGAAAAGTACTGTTCATAAAAAAAATTGTTACTGTTCACAAAACTGTAACTGTTACTGTTCGTTTTATTGAAAAATGTTACTGATTCATTATTTAAAATAAATACATTTTGTAGTTAATGTTTCTGTTAATTTAATTAACTGCCAATTAATTTTAACGGTTAATTGCAATTAATTGTTTAAATTGCTTTAATTGCTTTTATTTGATTATAATTAAAAACTAACTGTAATTAATTACAAAAGCGTGTAAGTTTCTTGTTAACCGACCTTTTTATCAACACTTTTTAGGTCAATCTACCTTGGTATATCTTTCTGTTGTTGTATGAGGAAGATTTATATAATATGACCAGTGAAACTTATTAGAAGCTAAAGTTTGTTTTCTATGCTTATCAAAAAATATCATTAGAAATGTCATGATTGCATAATAATTAAATTGTATAAGTACAATTGCCTTGGCTGTAACTTTGTAATAATTGAAGGATGGTTTCCATTGTTGCTCCACTCTCCTTTGCAGTTGTACATAATAGAATAATTTTTCTTACCTTTGTTCAAGTTCGTATATTTGATTTCACACCTTATGTTTCTTGAACTCTTGATCAAATCAGTTTCCTGATTTGATTTGTTTTGAACATAATCTATTGGGTCATTAATTAGCTTCTGCTATGTACATTCATTAAGTCAGATCTGAGTGATGCTCATATAGATATATAGTTGACCTTAATTGGAAAATAATTTGAAATATGCACGCATTTGTAATGTTCAATGAAACATGCCTATAAAATTTGCAGCAGTGTACAAGAAACAAAAGAAAAATTAGTTTTTTTTTTTTTTTTATAGATAATGAGGTTCATGAAGAACCAACACCTCTTCCTCTCCGAGCGTAGAAAATTCTAAAAATGGTTTCAGACGTTGACCATTTATTTTAAAAATATTACCATTTTTAGGATTTTCTATCTCGACAGCTCCATGTGGAAAAACTTGTTTAACAAAAAATGGACCAGTCCATCTTGATCTTAATTTTCCCGGAAAAAGATGCAATTTTGAATTGTACAATAAAACTTTCTGTCCTGGAGAGAAATTTTTTCGCAAAATTGATTTGTCATGAAAAATTCTGGTTTTCTATTTTTAAATTTTTGAGTTTATGTATGCATCATTCCGAATTTCTTCCAACTCATTTATTTGGAGCAATCTGTTTTTACCTGCTGAGTCTGAGTCAAAATTTAACTGTTTTATTGCCCACATTGCTCGATGTTCTAATTTTACTGGTAGGTGGCAAGCTTTTCCAAACACTAATCTGTATGGTGACATCCCCAAATTGGCCTTAAAAGCTGTTCTATACGCCCACAGAGCATCACACAATTTTACAGACCAATCTTTTCTGTTATGATTAACTGTTTTTTCTAAGATTTGTTTGATCTGCCTGTTTGTGACCTCTACTTGTCCACTGGTTTGGGGGTGATAAGGAGTTGACAATTTGTGTGTGATTGAATATTTCCTCATCAAAGCCTCGAAAGAACGGTTACAGAAATGTGTACCGTTATCACTGATGATCGCTCGAGGTACTCCAAACCGGGCAAAAATGTTCTCTTTCAAAAACTTGACAACGACCTTGTTGTCATTAGTTTTGCAAGCTACCGCCTCAACCCATTTTGACATGTATTCAACGGCTACTAGAATGTAGACATTTCCAAAGGAATTTGGAAATGGTCCCATGAAATCGATACCCCACAGATCAAAAAGTTCAACGGATAAGATGGGTTGTAAGGGCATCATATTTCTTCTAGTGACCTTCCCTAAAAGCTGACAGCGGTTACAGGTTTTGCAAAACTCGAATGAATCCTTAAAGAGAGTGGGCCAATACAGCCCAGATTGGAGAACTTTTTCAGCTGTTTTTCTCGGGCCAAAGTGGCCCCCACAGGCTTCCTTATGACAAAAGGATATAACACTCCTAGTTTCTTCAGTGGGAACACACCTCCTAAAGATCTGATCAGGACAGTATTTGAACAGATATGGATCATCCCAGTAAAAGTATTTTACTTGGGAGAGAAAACGGGATCTATCCTGTTTGGACCAATGAGAAGGGATCTGGTTCATGACTATGTAGTTCACAATGTCGGCGAACCAGGGAACAGATTGGATTTCTAGGAGTTGTTCATCTGGAAAATGTTCATTGATTGGAACGGTTGATGTTGGTGCATTTGGGAGTCGAGAGAGGTGATCTGCTACGGGGTTCTCTGTTCCCCTTCTGTCAAGAATTTGAATGTCAAACTCTTGAAGAAGGAGAATCCATCTAATGAGCCTTGCTTTAGCATCCTTTTTGGTCAAAAGATACTTTAGTGCGGCATGATCAGTGAAAACTTCTGTTAAGGAACCGATGAGGTAGGACCTGAATTTTTCTAAGGCAAAGACTACAGCTAAAAACTCTTTCTCTGTGACAGAGTAGTTTTGCTGGGCATCATTCAGAGTCCTACTGGCGTAGTAGATCACATGCGGTTTTCCATCAAACCGTTGTCCTAAAACAGCACCAATCGCAGAATCGGATGCATCACACATCAGTTCGAATGGTAAGGTCCAGTCCGGTACATGAATGATAGGAGCTGTGGTTAGCTCCTTTTTCAGATATTCAAAAGCTTTGAGGCAGTCGGGGGAGAAGACAAATGATGTATCCTTGGCTAAAAGATTGGTCAAGGGTCTAGCAATCTTGCTGAAATCCTTGATGAAACGTTGGTAAAAACCAGCATGACCAAGAAACGATCTGACATCTTTGACAGTTTTGGGAGGAGGGAGATTGGAAATGAGATCTACCTTAGCTTTGTCCACTTCAATTCCCCTATTGGAAACTACATGTCCTAAGACAATGCCTTGTTTGACCATGAAATGACATTTCTCCCAATTGAGAGTCAGATTTTTCTCCCTACACCATTCTAGGACCAATTTAAGATGATGCAAATATTGGGAAAATGTGTCACCAAAAATGGAAAAGTCATCCATGAAAATTTCAAGAAATCACTCTACCATGTCGGAAAAAATACTGATCATGCAACGTTGGAATATATGGCTGGTGCATTGCACAGGCCAAAAGGCATGCGTCGGTATGCGAATGTTCCATACGGGCAAGTGAAGGTGGCTTTCTCCTGATCTTCTGGAGCGATAGGGATTTGATTGTAACCTGAATATCCATCCAGGAAACAGTAGAACTCGTGTCCTGCTAAACGCTCTAACATTTGGTCAATGAAAGGAAGAGGGAAGTGATCTTTCCTAGTGGCTAAGTTGAGCTTTCGGTAGTCAATACAGACTCGCCATCCAGTTTGGATCCGAGTGGGAATCTCTTATTTATTTTATTCGGATTTATCTGCATGCTATAATATTTAATTATTTGATAAATTTCCAACAATTTACTATATTGCTTTAATCATAATAAACACAACCAGGACTAGATAATGGTAAAGAAGAATTGACCAAAGTGTACCCCCGGCAAGTGGCCTAGTGGCGAGAATATGAGAGTCTTGGCTCAAAAGATCAGGAGTAGATCTATTTCTATGACACGTCTACGTCTAATTTCTAATCATTAAGCATTACAATACTTGTGCTCTACATATGGGTCCGGGGTGTGAAACCAAATAATAATAATAATAATAAAAAAAAAAGAAAAAAAAAAGGAAAAGGCATGCCTTATTGATACGAGGAGTAAATTGTAATCTCTAATATTGTAGAGACCGGTACCAAAATACCAAAAAGTCAAGAAGGAGCCGTATCTAAAATATCTACCCAATTAATTATCGAGTTTAAAACTCTTGATTTTTTTTTTCATTACAAAAAGACCTAATTATTGCTCTATAAATATGTTCGCGATTCGTATGGAATTAATACACGTATCCCATAAGAATAATCTTCTTTCATTCCAGAATCACAGAACCAATGACCCTAAAATAAATTTACATATATGAATTCAATAAATAAATACTGTATTCTTGTACGGTAGGGCTGTTTTTTTTCTTTTTTAAACTTTCAAATTTTGAATTGAACTCGATCGCGATAGGCCCCCCCAATCTTTGTTAAGCCCATAATAACAATCCTATCAATTAAACCCACAAACCGAGCAATTCGTGGAACGACTAATTACCCACTCGCTAGATACGCAAAAACCCCGTTTATTATCCCCTTAAACCGCCTTTTCGAAACTTATAAATAAAGCAACTCATCATCCTCATCATCACAAAAAAAGCGCCTCCCCACTAGAGATTAGAATCCTCCTCAGTCCTCCCCTCCCCCGTGGCACTCCCGTAATTTCCTCGAATCCCAAAAACCGCCCAAAAACCCCCCCAGAACCTCCTCATCGTCTTCTTCGAAAAAAAACCCCCAAAATCCCCAGAAAATTTTAAAAAAGAAAAAATCAAGAAAAAATTTCGCGATGAACTACGGCAAGGAGTTTCAGATGGAGGACATAGCGAAAAAGCTGAGCCTGTGGCATACGAAGACCTTCAGGCCCGATGTTGAGACACGCACGAAGAGCTCGAGCGATAATGGCCTCCGTCGCGCTTCGCTACCTCTCCCGATGTCGCTGTCGTCCAGCGTCCTCCGCGCGAGCGGCGGAGGGGGAAACGTGGCCTGGTAGGCAGTTACGCTTTGCAGGTCGGCAGAGCCGGCGCGGGCTCTGACGGCGGCCGGCGGCCGGCGGCGGAAGGCGGCAGCGGGGTCCTTGCCGAGGCCGACTGGTTGCCCGTTTCGCGAGGATGCGAATGGCTCCACATCCTCGCTTACGAGGCCTTCTTCCACGCCCTTGAGTTCTATCTTGGGTCCCACCACGTCCCTGACCTCTTCCACGTCAGGTGAGCCCCCATCCCCTTTTTGCTGTTGTGATTGGGGATTTTTACGGATTTGCCACTGATGGTTTCTTTAATACTCGACTGTTTACAAAAAGAGCCGCTGTTTGGGCACCGCTTCAAATTGAGGAGGCCTTTCCTTATTATTGCTATTATTATTATTATTACTATTTTTATAAATATATATTGTTTCTTCAGATTTTACCATAGTGGGTTTGTTTAAAACAATCTAGTTTAGAATCTTGATTAATTTTACTCACAAATCTTAAACGTTGACGCTAATAGTGAGAGATAATATAAGCCCCTGAGTTTCTTGGGCTGGGGCCACCATAATTCTCAACGTGTTTATCTTGGTCAGCAAGTTTCAACCCGACTGTAGGGAGATTTGATGGGACCCACGACCATATTTTATATTTTTTATTTGGGAGAGTTGTTTTGAGAGTTGGTCCTCTACGTATCTTCTGTTTGGAAGCAAGTCCCAGAAACTCATTGGTTTGAGTATGTTAATTTAATCATAAAATAAACGGCTCTTAAGTGCATATTTGATGTGCAAAGACTAATGGGTATGGGTTCCTTGTGAACGTTTTAGGTTTTGTGTTGAAGAATGACATGTATTTGGAAAATAACTGTCATTACTTTATTTTGTGGTGACATTTCCTAAGGGTTGTTTGGTTGATTTCCTAAAATCAAAGAAAAGGAAATAGGATAAGGAAATCATTAAAGGTTGATTTCCATCAATTTTCCTCAAAAAAAGTCATGAAATGTCTCCTTAAAAATGAGTCACATCATCTAATAATATGATGACAACTCATCTCATCTCATCTCTATTCTTAGTTTTAAGAAGTGAAGAAAATATCTATTATAGGAAATAGGTTTCTTATAATTGATTTCTTTGTTTTTATAGCCAACCAAACAACCCCTTATAAATGGACTACTTCGGGATATCCAATGAGTTTTAGGGGGGATTTATTATAATTATTCTTCGGGGCTGTTTGGTTGGTTTCCTAAAAATCAAGAATAGAAAATTGGGTCATGGAAATCTCAAAAACATCAATTTTCTCCATTTCAATCCCTAAAACTCACTACAACATCCAATAAAATATTATTTTTATCTAACAACTCATTCACTTTATCCAATAAAATATTATTTTCATCCAATAACTCATCTCATATCATCTCCTAAAAATAAACCAAACACAAGAAATGAGTCACATCATCCAACTCATCTCATCTCATCTCATATTTAAAAATCACCCACATCATCTAATAATATAGTGATAACTCATCTCATCTCATTAACATTTCATTTCCAACCATTTCCTTAAAAAAAATAAGGAAATTGATTTTCTTAAGTGTGGGTCACATCATCTAATAATATACAAACAACTCATCTCATCTCATCTATTTTCTTATTTTTAAGAATGAACTAAACACAAGAAAGAAACTATTATAGGAAATAGGTTTCTTATAATACATTTCCTTATTTTTTAACCAACCAAACAATCTCAAAACAAGTTTTCTTAAAAAATCACTCACAACATCCAATAATATGGTGACAACTCATCTCATCTCATCTCCTATTCTTTGATTTCCTTCTTTTTTTAGCCAACCAAACAACCATAATACAAGATTTCATATTCTTTGATTTCCCACTTTTTTTAGGCAAACAAACAGCCTCTTCCCTATCCGGCTTGCATTTTACTTTGAATACATGTTTCTTTATTCCATATTTGTTTAAAACATGCTGATGGACATGATAGTGGTAAATTGAATACAACTGAATACTATTTGGATATACTTAATTACTAACATATGTTTCAAGGATATTGTTTTCTACATGACTTCGTATATGGGGTATCCCGTGTAGGAAAAGACAAGCTTATTTAATTTTTAATTTTTTTCACAGTTTCATTAAAATAATTTAATGCAACTCTATAACACTTTTTTCTCTTGGTATTTAATAATATTTGTTAATATTCGACTTTTTTTCTCATAGTACTTCATCATATTTGTTAATATTTGAGAAGTGTCAGAATCTGATCTATAGTGGACTAGTGTAAATATTGAGTTAGGATATATGTATCATGATTTTTGTACTCACTAGAAAAACAAAGGAGAAATGGTAATACCTTTGTCTGTCTTGTATCATAATATCAGAGTTGAATGCACCTTAAATCTCGGCGTCCATTCTATAAAGAACAAAATTTTGAAATCAACCGTTTTTTAACATTAATAGGCAAAATCGACCGTTCCCCCCCCAAAAAAAGGCAAAATTGACCTGCACAGGACTAGTAGTCTCGTGCAGTCCCTATCTCTCTCCTCACCGCGTGCCCATCTCTCTCTCTCTCTCTCCTCACTCACCTGCCCCCTCGCTCTCTCCTCACTCACCTGCCCCTTACTCCTCCCGCAAGTCGCCCGCCCTCCCTCCTCCTCATCTGCTCCCACTGCCATCATCATAGGCGTCGGCCTCTCCAGCCTCACCGTAACCACCCACCTCCACTCCTCCTCCATCCCCTTCATCCTCCTCGACTCTTCCGACTCCGTTGGCGTCCTTGTCCGCGCTGACTCTGTGGACGGCTTCCTCCTAGACCGCAGCTTTTAGATATTCCTAACTGCCTATATATCCAGAGGCCCAGCGCCTCCTCCACTACCCCTCCCTCCGGAGCTGGCGAGGGGTTGAGGATGATGTTCACGAACAGGAGAGCTGGGTGTCGGAGTATGAGAACACCGACAGCAAAATCGACCAAAAAGGTCGATCTTGCTCATTTTTATGGGAGAAGATTGATTTTGCTAATTAATTTTTGGAAAGAGTTGTTTTTAAAAATTTGTCCTTCTATAAATATAAGAGTCCTACAAGTTACAAGTTAGTCCTGGAAAGAAGCCCATAGTTATAGCTGAACAATATCCACTTAATCAAGTTTCCATGATATTATAAATTAGCGTAACAACGTGATGGTTATAGGTATTTAGTAAAATTATCACCTTTTTTATGATTAAATCAACATGGCTAGAATCCTAGGATCCACATTATATACCCCACCTACTCTTTCTTGAGTACCTGATGTGGAACCCCACCTACTCTTTCTTGAGTACCTAATGTGGGACTAAATAAGCGGTATCACACTTTGGCCTACTCTCCATGAAAAAAGCTAGAATGTCTATACTAAAGCAAGACAGCTAGTGAGTCTAAAGTACAATGAAGTATCATTCTCCATAACATCTGAATGAATTTTGAAGCGTCACCACTCAACTCATTCCTATGAAGATGTCTTTAGATGACTAGTTATCTTGATAGTTGGGAGACATTGGTTATGTTGCTTAGCAACTTTGCACCAAATGGTGTTGTTAGTATGAGATTGGTGACAACGGTCCATTAAACAAGTATTAAGAAGGAAGAATGCCGTGACATATGTCAAGGATGGTGTTTTGATGGTTTTTTACTGATATGATACAAGCAGATGACTGATATAATATAGGCAAATTTGATGGAAAACACAATGAATTTAGCAGAGACAGGCCTTGGCAAGTTTAGGAATCTAATGATATGCTATTAGTTGACATAGGACACATAATGAACAATGAACAAATTTATGGAGGGTGGGATCGTCATGAGCCAAATACGGATATAGACACACATATTTGACTAGTCCACAAAGAAACGATAATATCGCCTAATCCAAAAGTTGAATTTTGACATATTATATATGTAAATTAACTACGTCGATGAGACGAAGTCGAACCAAATTGAAAGATTTTCGAAACTTCATCAGCAATACCTATTATTGGCAAAAATATGAAATTAATAAGGCTTTAGGTTGTTTTTACTAATAAATTAGAGTCTTGTTTGGATTAGGAAACGAATTCAATTTGATTGATTGATTCGATCGATTGATTTTTTTAACCATAGGGAGTAAGGTATATTTTCTATTTCTTGTAATTCAAGTCCTATTAGGAGACTATTTTGTTTTTAATTTAAGAAGAAGCTTGTAACCCTAGAACTACTATTACAGCTTTTATCTATAAAATTCCTCATACTATTTTCTCTTTTTTATTTGTGCGTTCGAAGTTCTTCGTGGATTTGGAGATCGTTCTTTGTGAATTCAAAGAGCAAGCCTTGGTGGGGTTCAATGTTATTACTTCAACGTTGTTTTAATTGGTATTAGAGCTATGTTTATCCGATCCAATGACATACAACGAAACCTCTATTACCCAAACTTAGATTAAGACTTTCATGGACTGACTTGCATTGGCAAGGTAGCATCTGAAATTGGGACAACTTTGATATCACATTGTTGTTCGCCAAAGAAGTGATATGACTCTGCAAAAATGAATCTAGTAGTGATATGATTAATGACACTTTTGTGTTATTTTAGTAATAAATTAAAATTATTATTTACAATAATTAATGACACTGGAGACGATTGAATGCAAGATATTATTACTTCTATCATGATATCTTCCATATTTTAATCTGTAGACGAAGCCTAAAATAATATCTTCCATATTATTTATAATAATTTTATAAATTAAAATTACAATTTATAATAAATTCAAACAAGACTTTTAACTTATTACTAAAAATAACCTAAAAGCTGATTAATATTAGATTTCCCCAAAAAATTGATATTGCTGATGAAGTCTCAGAAATTTGCTAATTTAGTTGGCTTCATCTCATCGAGAAGGTGATGTACACATATATTATGTCAAAATTTAGTTGGCTTGTGAGGAGTTGTTGGGCAAGTTGTGCTCATATCTAGTCCTAGCCAAGTGATACAGGAAGTAATAGCATTAGTCTTTTGGCGGAGGTGTAGAATACATAGTGCTTCTATCTGGACTAGGCAAGCGATGCAACATCTAGCTCGTAATGAGTAGGAAAGGGTGCATGTGCGACCTTAGGCGAGTGATGTCGGTGGAGCACAATGATAACAAGCATCACAGGTGTTGTTAGGCTCAGTTCAAGAAAGAGGCATATTTGATTTGCTTCTGGTGTTACTGGGGACCTTTTG